GTTCAATTTTGGACACGTTAACAGCTTGTGCTGAACCGTACGCTCGTGCTTTTCATGAAGTTTTCTAATAATAATAATAATAATAATAATAATAATAATAATAATAATAATAATAATAATAATAATAATAATAATAATGAATTTAACCCAGAATCCACAAAGTGGTTCTTTGCCTGTATACTAAAAAGCTATCAAAACTAATATTCTAGTAATTAACAAATGCAATAGCAATTAAATTCTACGGGAATAGCTCAAAAAAATAGACCATATCTAATATATTTGGGTTTGTGACATTAAAAGACAATGTCTATGTGTGGCATTTAAATAGAGTCGAATCTGGGGCATTTATAACAATGGCATTATTGATTTGCAAAAGAGTCCATACATCTTAATGTTTCTGACATGCGTTGTGAGACTGTTGAAAAAAGTTGCGGCAGTGTGCTAAAAGGTGCCACATTCTTTGGGGATACACAGTAGTGGAGCAACAGAGGATCTCAAGCTGTATGCAGAGACTGCTTGAGCACTAAGTCAAAGGTATTCAGGAAAATTTGTATCATTCACGATTTAAAAGAGAATTTAAGAACAGAAACTTTGCGTCTCTTAGCAATATCTAGCCAGTTTAGTGTCACTAGGACAGACTCATTAGCGTATTTCCTTAACACAAACCTCGCACATGCATTTTGCACTCTCTGGAGGCATCGCAGCTGATAGGCTGGTAGTGGATCGAACACTACAGAGGCATAGTCCAGTTCGGAAATAACGAGGCACTCTGCCAGCTGTTTCGTCACATGATATGGAGCCATATGCTTCGGCTTTCTTAGTACTACCAGTGTTCCGTAGCATGACGCGAGCGTTTTGGTGATATACTCGTTCCATGTTGGATGTTGGTCAAGCTATAGTCCATGTAACTTTGTAGCGGAGCTCCACGCGCGCGCGAAGCCCCATAGCTAAGAAAATTTGGTAATCTATCCATCCGACAAAATTTGGTTATGACGTCAGCGTACGACCGAACGCTGACCGTACAGACGCTGGGGGAGGGGAAGGGAAGTCAGGAGTCAGCCCGTCGGGGGAGGAGTATGTTATAGCTGAGATGAAATTTTTGCATTTCAAGCACAGCGGTAAATCACATGGCAGCCCGGACTTTTAGAGCCAAAAAAGTCTTTCTTTCCACTAAATTTTAATGTCTACATTAACTTGGATAACGGGGAAAGAGCGAGAGCGAGAAATAAATAACTACGGAGACCAATTTCTTTAGAATAAAAACATGAAAATTGTATAGCGGCGCTGAGAGTGTGCTGCAGGTGCAAAGTTGTCTTTTTGCTAATTAGGAACAAAAGTGTGCTGCACGTGTAAAGTTTTTTTTGCTAATTAGATCTGTTTTTGTTGTTTTTTACCGTTCTCGTTGTTTTTACCTTGTCTATAGTGTTGCTCGATTTTATATTTTCTTCGAGGAAACTATACATATTAAAGAGAGCTTCGCTTCTAGCCGTGGCTAAATCTGTATATTAGATTGAAAGCGCCCCAAGGGATCTCCTTTGCAGTTGACGTTTAAAGTACAGCTGTCCAGGCTATGGTCTCGAGACATCTTATATAATACTCAATAGGTGTCCCTGCTTATCAGTCGTTATGCCCTTTTTGAAACTAGCTTCGATATCAATAGAAAATACTTAACTATCCAATTTTCATTTTCTTTTGTAGAACCATGAATGATGGTCAAATTGGTACCATGAAAGTTTTCGATTCATTTCAACAAGAACGCAGCACTATTTATCTGTTCGTAACTTACTTTTATACCGTAATACAATATTCTAATATGCGGTTGCATTGTCTTTTACCTTCGTTTACTGAGTTCCTATAGCCTCATGCATGACCCCGTTGTTAACTACACTAAACTACAAGTTAAAATTTTTCAAACCCATTTTCTCAACTCGCACTGTGAGGTCTAAATGAATCTGTATTTTTGTCCCCTTTCTGCCTCATTTTGATTTATCATTCTCACCTGTTATGACATTGATAGAGCTTTGCAATACAAGTCGAACCTCTCATAAGCGACCTCCCAAAAAGCCAAGTTGTAGTGGTGGCTTTCGGAGGAGGTCACTAACGCAGCTAAGGAAAATCGAATCATAAGCGGCCCCATTCAAAAACAGGGGTGGACACATCTACTTTTTGGAAGGGAATTTTTGCAGGCAACTTCTTAGGTACGATGAGTGTAGATTCAGGTTCTTGTCATCCAGGTCACGTGTATGATTTTAGAACAAATTGCACTTCACTCAGTTCCATTATTAACAACATCGCAAAACGAAAATCACAAAAAGAGTAATAGGTTTGAAAAAGCTCATGAGGAAATTTCTAAAGGATGGCTTGCTTGCTGAATGTACAATGTTGGAGAAGAAAGTGAATGTCTGAAACTCTTTGGAAAATACAAGTCTTAACACCTGATGCGAATGTGCGGCCCTATTGACCCACGGGGATCCCATTCATTGTGTTCACAGCGTGGACATATTCGCTTACGAGAAAAGGTCGCTAATGATGGTTCGACTATTACTATATCTTTGAGCAATCTAGCCCAATATACTGAATAGCTTCATTTAAAAACTCATTAACTCTTTACCAATTTTGTTATTTTTGATGACTGTTATTTCCTTGGATATTACGTGATATTGCTTGCAAAAACCTGAAAATCCCACAGATTGCCGGCTAAATTTACCAACTCCTTAAACTTCTGAACTCAGTTTAGATATATCTTTGTTCTTTATTTCATATTTTCAAGAAAATAAGTACAACTAAGTATCTAATTTAAAGTGCAAATACTAAAAACTATCAGGTAATACAAAACACGTCCGATAAATACGATGCAACAATCTTTTGAACGACTGGGGCGAAATAGAACGTTTGAATTTGAAAATTGGCTATTTAATGTCAATTTTGTACATATATTTTTGTAAACTTTTTTTACTGAAACATTTTTATCTTTCAATTTAGTGGCTTGGGCCAAGATAGCTCTACTTACCTTAACCTTGGGAGTTATTCATCTCTCAGCGTCTATCCAATACGCGATTCATTTAAGCGAGCTGGTTTTGCGAATGCAACTCTTGGTAACGACAAATTATTACCATGTTCACTTGGTGCTTTTGTAAATGTAAGTCGTCTAGAATGCGTCGAATGTCCTGCAGGTAAAATATATATTGTGTTTCATGATTATTCTATTATTATACATTCAACTCACTATCTCTTTTCTGATTGGCCGAGAGTGTATAGTGAATTTTCGAAATCAGTGTCCGGGACGTCATATAGCTGCAGATTATACAATAATCATGGCAAGGACACTCAAGGTCATGGATAATCATGCCATGTATGACCGCGGTGCATGATTTCTAAGGGTAATCATGTCAAGCTCGCGCACTTTGTGCTGCTTGCCGTCAGTGAAGAAGTAAAAACATGATTTTCAGGTTTCAGTCCCTTTTACTGTCGTGACCATTTTTTTTTTCGTTCAATGTATAATAAAACAATTATTAGATTCGGTTTTTGTGATATCTAGAATAATCTAGGTCGAGGTTGGGGTTATCAGCCGAAGCCGAATATCACAGAAAACGTCATCCAATAATTGTTTATTATTTGTACATGTCCTATGGGTGATAATTAATTCAAATCCCAAACAGCAGTGTTAGAATTCGGGTGCAAATTAAGCACTAATTTTAAAATTGATAAAACACTTGCTGTACGTTTTTAAGCATCTTCAAAAACGTCCCCTAATTAGATTTTTTGATTTCTAATAAATAGTTTTCTCTTTTTAAAAATTTGTTGTGATACATTGTCAGCTGGATTTCTCAGTTTAAGGGTCTATCTGAATTTGAACTGCCCGAGAAGAATGTCAACAAGATAATTGTATTTTAATTGGCCTTGTTCTTTATTTTAGGCGATTTACTGACTTCGACAATAGCGAGGTCAAGCATCTCGTTTACGTCCAATGGCAAACGCGATGTTGTACTACGTGACTTAATTTCCCCTTTACCTGTCGTTTACCTTTCGTTTTTTCAACAAATAAATAAGTAGTTTCACGCAATCAGTTTTATCCATAAGAATTGTTCTGAGCTGTTTTTATTTGCTTATTTTCTATTTGGAGAAATTCTTAACTTGAATCTTACGTTTGCCGTTTGCCATATACATGATTCTTAACTCTCTTTTGTCTCGATTCATAGAAACGCAAAAACCGGCACTTTGCCGATATGCAGCCAGCCACATTTTTTGGATTCTTTTAAGCTTCACGTATATGGCAAATGGCAAACGTCAGATTCAAGTTAAGAATTTCTCAAAATAGAAAATAAGCAAATAAAAACAGCTCAGAACAATTCTTATGGATAAATTTCATTGCGTGAACTACTCATTTATTTGTTGAAAAAGCGAAAGGTAAACGTTGGGTAAATGGGAAATTTAGTCACGTGGTACAAGTTTGGGGGATTTCGAATTTTTCATCTTGCACACCTATCCATATTTACAGAACGTCGCTCTTAAATTATTATAATGCGACCAGATGGTAGTTTTTCCTTTTTTTTGCCTCGCGATAGTAAAGTCCGTTCACATTAAATTTATTTCAAGGACACTTTCACTCGGATTAAACTTTCTTATAGGAGGATTCTATTCGGATACCATAGCGTTTGTCAGTGACGGCTGCCTCAGATGTCCAAATG